CGTATACCACCACACCCTGCCTAGTAAGGAGTTTCTTTATGGTGCAAGAAAATGAGAGAAATGCTCTAAAATGGACTGCAGTAATGGTTGTTCGACTCTTGAGAATGCATAAAAATCTGACTCATAATCTCTCACTTTATTGATTGTTCTGTTGCATTTGCTTTTTTGAGACAGGGTCTTATGTAGCCTAGGCTGGCCTTGAACTGCATCTTGCACATGCTGACTACAGTACTAGAATTATTTTTCTTTTTTATTTATTTTCTTTGTATTACTTTAAAACAGTGAACTGTACAGTACACAAATTATATTTCAAAAGTTGTTTGTTTTGAGATAGGGTCTCTCTCTATAGTCCAGGTTCACCTTAAACAAGATCTTTTTGCCTTAGTCTCCCAAGTGCTGAGATTATAACTATGCACCACCATGCCTGGCCTCAATAAAGTTATTGTATATAATGAGAGAGAAATGTGAGAGCATGAATGAATAAAAAGTGAGCCTAGCCAGGCTCACACCTATAATCACACTTGGGAAGCAGACATAGGAAGACTGCTGTCAGAAGCCAGCCTGGGCTACACCCATCTCAAATCAACAACAAAAAAAGTGAATCTAATTCACTCCTATTACTATAATATTTGAGATGGACCATAAACCCAGATGAAAACCCTAGAACAAGAAAGTATCTACAAGAAAATAGAGTATCAGAGTTAGAGAGATGGCTCCACAGTTAAGAGCACTGGCTGCTCTTGCAGAGGAACTGGGTTCGGTTCCCAGCACCCACATGGTGGCTATCAACCATCTGCAACTCCAGTTCCAGGGGAATTCAATGCCCTCTTCTGACTTCTGAGGGTTCTGCATGACACAGGCACTTACGTACATGCAGGGAATATAATATACTCATACCAGCAGTGTCATCCTGCTTTAGCTAGTTTTACAACCTTCACAGTAATGCCCTCCTGGACTCTTGTAATCAAGAAAACCAAGCAGAATGTGGTGGCTCACACCTGTAACACCAGCACTTGAGAGGCTGAAGCAAGAAGGCTGGTGTGAGCCTGCGAATAACCCATGCCTAGTGAGGTGCAGGTCAGTCTGGGCTGTAGAGTAAAATAAAACCCTATCTCAAAAAAACCAAAAAAGTTCTGGATGGTGGCACATGCCTGTAATCCTGGCAATCTGGAAATATAGGCAGGAAGATCAGAAATGCAAGGATATCCTCAGCTATATAGTAGCTTGGACTACTAGAGAGCCTGAGTCAAAACAAAAACAAAAACAAAGCTGGGCATGGTGGCACAAACGGAAGCGGATCTCTGCAAGACAGAGGCCAGCCTCATCTATATAGTAAGTTCCTGGTCAGCGGGGGCTACAGGGAAATCCTGTCTTAAAAAGACTGGGGAAAAGCCGGGCGTGGTGGCTCAAGCCTTTAATCCCAGAGGCAGGCGGATCTCTGTGAGTTCAAGGCCAGCCTGGTCTACATAGTGAGTTCCAGGACAGCTGCGGCTACAGGGAGACCCTGTCTCAAAAAGACAAAAAAAAAAAAAAAAAAAAAAAAAAAAAAAAAAAAAACTGGGGGCGGGGGGCGGAGAAAGAAAAGCCCAAAAGAAAACCTAAAAAAGAATGAACAGCAGACCAGCTAATTTTTGAAATAATAAAAGCTGGGGCTGGAGAGATGGCTCAGAGGTTAAGAACACTGGTTGTTCTTGCAGAAGACCCAGGTTCAAATCACAGCTAACAACTGTCCATAACACCGGTCCCAAGGGATCTGACAGCCTCTTCTGACATCCTCGGGCATTGCACGACACGGGTACACTTACCTACATGCAGGCAATACATGCATACATATAAAATAAAAAATAAATTAATTAAAAAAAGGCTTCATAATAATGCCGGTAGAGACTGACACAGAACACCTGTTAAAAGCCATTTTCTCTCACTGTTCTATTGTACCTTTCTTTCCATGCTCCTTTTCATCTTTTCCCTACCCTCGGTTGATCTCTAGCCCAGGTATATTTTTATATCTATCTTCATTCCCCCTACTAAAATAAATATTGCTCAGATCTAGTTGACTTTCATGAATTCAGCCCATCTCAAGCTCCCAAATAAATGTACAAAATTACACTGTAGTCTATGTAGATATGTCACATACACTCTAACATTACAGAAAAGGATGGCCTGGGAAAAGAGACCACTAGTAAATGGATACAGACTGACCTCATTTGTTCCCCACCTGCACAACTGAAAAAGACCTGATGAACAATCACATGCCTTTACTCCCTACAAACAGCACCTCCCAGTGTTCTGAACCAGTATACACACCTACAGAGAAAGCTATCAGGAACTAAGATAGTGTCTTGGACAGGGTAAAACACATACTTGGCTGGATTAGTGAATTACTGAATTAATGTGAATGAAAACGGAGGATGGAAGAAAAGAAGAAAAAAGCTGAGCCGATACAGAAAGAAGGATCAGCCAGCATGATGGCACCTATCTGTAATTCCAGCACTCAAGATGTGAAGGCAGGAAGATCAGGAGTTCAAGGTTAGCTCTGGCTACATTGCACGTTGGAGACCCGCCTAAGCTAGGTGAGGCTCTGTCTCAAAAAAATTTTTTTAATTGAAAAAATCAGAAAAGTCCTTAATATATATCTAATATCACAGTTATCAGCATCAGTCTTAAAGAACCATAATCTTAAAATATCTTTAAAATTGTCTCCCTACTCTTGATAGTCAAAGAATTTTTTAAATTTTATTTATTATTTTTATTTTTATGTGTATGAGTGTTATGCCTGCATGTATGCATGTGCCTGAGATCAGAAGAGAGCATCAGATTCCTCTGCAACTGGAGTTACAGAAGGTTGTCAGCCACCATGTAGGTGCTGGGAATTGAACCCAGGTCTTCTGCAAGACCCATCAGTACTCTTAACTGCTGAGCCATCTCTCGAGCCCCTCAAAAAATTATTTCTAACAGCAAATTCTAGGCCCCAGTTCAAAATGAAGAGGTAAGGGGTGATTTATGCATGCTAAGTTTGAAAAGAATTGCCCCTAACACCATGTAGGCCCTTAGGTATTTTCTATTATATTGACCTGTGTTTTATTCAAATGAGCCAGTAGCTGAGATTTGAAAATCATCTCTTTTCTTTTGTGGTTCTAGGATCTAACCTAGGTCCTGACACGTGCTAGGCAACCACTCTATTACTGAGCTACATCCTCAGCCTAAAAAAAAATGTGATTGCAATGAAACCAATAATTATAATGGGATTTGATCTATAAATATTTAATGAGGTGAAGCTATTAATTACAGAGAAATGTGACCTAATGGTTTACTACAAAGATTAGCAAAAATTCAGCTGTAAGACAGCAGTATCCTCAAGAATTCACTTTTGCTCCTTTGTGCGTAGCACAGGGCTTGGAATGATACATGTGACCAAGATTTCCTGATTGAATTAAATGAATTTTTTTAAAAAAGTCATAGAAGGCATGGATGGGAAGACAGCTCAGTGGATAAAGCACTTGCCACTCTAGGTTGAGTGAGACTCAGAGTTTGGATCCCACTAAAAGTCAGGCAGGCTCCCAGCCTCAATCAATAAAGTGGAGCACGATCCAGGAAGACACCTGACATCTACTTTGTACATCCACAAGCACACATACAAACACACCACACATGCAAAAGCAGATCCTAGAAAGCTAGGATGATTATGGCGTTACCTGGCCACCACCAATCTCACTCTAAAGATAAACTAGAAATGCTGAGAGATGCAGAAGCAAGAAAGCCATAGGAGCCAAATTACAATGTGTGCACAGAGCTAGGATGAAGCAGCTCAGGGAAAGGAGACTGGGCAAAGCTATTTTTCTAAAATACTGACAGGTCCATTCATTAGTCAATTTAATTTGCCAAAAAATTACTCTGATGGGTTCTTAGAAAAAAAGAGAAAGCTAAGCTAGCATGATGACACCCATCTGTAATTCAAGCACTCAGGAAACATGAGCTTCGTGAAAATGTTACAAACCAAAGAGACTGCACATGACTAACAAATCTCCACAGGCTCATTTCCTGTTTAAGTATGACCTCCTGGGATAAGTTTTACTGCAGTGTTCATTACCAGATGACTGTGGGTTTTAAGAGACGCCAAGGGCAAGTTGGAAATGCGATTCTTAGCTAAACATGAAAGAAAAAAGACAAGAAAGAAAAAAGGAAAGAAGACAGGAGAAGGGAGGGAAGGGGTGGAGAGAGGTAAGTGTTTGAAAAGGCAAAGGGGACTTTTGATTAAACGTAAAAGAGAAAACAAAAACCAGAAGAGAAAAAATGGGACTGTTTGCTATTTGTAATCAGAATGCAGGCTTGTGGAGAACTCGCATCAACTTCTGTAAGCAAAAATATAACGACCCAGTCACGTCCCCAAAACAAATCACCAGCTTCACAGCTGGCTCCAGGTGGGCTGAACGGGAGCCAGGAATTTATTCTAAGGCATCGCGGAGCAGATAGGTCAAAAAAAGCCCGTGCAGGACAGGCCAGATTTCAATCACGGAAAGGGTGTGTCCCAAGTTTTGTGGTTCCCTCCCAACCTCCAGCAAGCGCGGTGAGCAGCCCTTCACTATGGTCGGATATAGTGGCAGCGGGGAGAGGCTTTTCCCAGCCTCCGTTCGGGAGCGGCGGCTGGGTCTGAACCCGAGGAAGCCGGTCCGGAGCCCCAGACGGCGGGTCCCGAACCCCAGCCGGCTCGTCCCAAACCCAAGGAGGCCGGTCCCGAACCCGAGGCGTCCGATCGGTAGCCCCAGATGGCCGCAAGAGGCTCACCCGCAGCCCAGAGTCGGCGTGCCGCCCCGCACCCTTCGTCCCGCTGCGGCCCGGCCACCCAGTGCCCCGGCGCCCTCGGCTCCCTGGCGGGGCTGGCGGAAAAGAACCAGCCCAGCGGCGGGAAGCGCAGCCTAAGCCTCCTCAGCCACCAGGGCCGGAGCGCCTCGCAACCGCGCCCGCCGACGGACTTCCTGAAAGTACCAGGCAGAGCTCACCTGAGGACGTTTGCCTGGTCACCGAACCCTTTCGCACCCAGCGGGAACCGCTCGGCTCCCGAAACGCCTCAAGCTCCACGCCCAAGGAGTTGCCGGATCCTCCGGCCAGCAGCCCCACAACCCGACCGCGCTGTCTGTGCGGCTGGTTCCCCCTCCTTCTGGGATGCGCGTGCGCAGGCTCGGACGCTCGCCACCCTGGGAGTTGTAGTTCAAGAGAAAGGGCGCGGCTCCAAGCCGACCTGGCTCTTTACAATGGGCACTTTAAACTTTAAGAGTCTACCGATACCAAGAGACACTAAACTGAGAAAAATGCTTTCTGTTCCTGAATATTCGTGCCCGCGACCCTCTGGAAGCTAGAAAGCCTATCTAGAGGCTTTTTGGTGATAGGTTTCCTTTTTGTGCCAGCCTTTTGTAACATACAGCATTGGGCAAGGTATGTCTTGTACCCTTGGTTACTAGAGCGAGGACTTAACATCAGCTTTTTAAACTTGTCATGAAAGACAAAGGCTGAGGGGACAGGGCTGTAGCTCAGTTGGTAGAGTACTTACCCAGCATACATGAAGCCCTGGATTTGATTCCTAGCAACACGTAAACTGGGTGTGATGGTGCAAATCTGTAATCCCAGCATCTTCAGCAACATACCGAGCTCAAGGCCAGTGTGGGTTTTTTGTTTTGTTTTGTTCTGTTGTTTTGTTTTTGCTCTTTTTGAGACGGGGTCACCCTGTAGCCACAGCTGGCCTGGATTCTCTATGGAGATCACGTTGGCCTGGAATTCACAGAGATCTGCCCACTCTGCTTCCTGAGTGCTGGGCTTAAAGGCAGGTGCCATTACACCTGGCTGGGACCTTGCCTTTAAAAAGTGTGTGTGTGCAGAGGCAGGCAGATCTCTGAGAGTTCAGGGCCAGCCAGGTCTACATAATGAATTCCAGGACAGCTGGGGCTACAGGGAGACCGTCTCAAAAAGACAAAAAAAAAAAAAAAAAAAAAAAAAAAAAAAAAAAAAAAAAAAGAGCAGAATAAAGGTGAAAAGCAGAGAAAAGATATTTCATTAATGCACACACTGGGGAAAGGACCAGATAAGGGGTCCAGGTATCCTCACATTCATCTTCAGGATATTGATATGTTTTAGGTTTAAATGGGGAAAGAATGGGGCAGGAGGCAAGGGGCATGTATAATTAAGCTTCCTGGTCATGGTTATGTCCTGGCATTGTTTCAGTTTGGTTCTCTGCAAGCTAGTCTGAAGAAATCCTTTTTGCTTGAAGGAATATTATTATTCTCAGAAGATGATGGCTCATGTTCCAGGGTGCAGCCTATCCATCCTGGATAGTTGCCCCCACCTAGTAGGTAGTCTGTCCTAGGAGGCTCTGTTATTCATGGAATCAAAGTTGACTGCAAGTTCAGGACAGTAGAGACTTTTAGGTACATTTTGGGTGTCTGGAGCAGGACATTGTAAAAAGCTGACAGTAAAAAGCCTCAGTTGCTTTACCTTTTGCCTTTAGCCTTGAAGGGGGATGAGACAGCTTAGATATCACCAGTTTCTAGATAGGCATTCCTCAAATGAGTAGCATGCCTACATGAAGGTAAGCAGGTGACCCAAAGTAAAGGAGACAGATACAAAATGAAGGCAGAGGTGCTGAGCTTTATCCTGCTTTTAGTCACCTTGTGAACCCAAAAGAGGGATCAGTGCTCTTTAACAAAAGCAGTTTCCACATGCCTGTAACATAGCAATTGCCCCATCTTCCTGGGCAGTTTCTGCTCCATCCCATCCTTGTATTCCAACATCAAGTTCTACATCAGGTTGGGGGTGTTGCTAAAATTCCTTCTGGGAGGCATCCGGCCCCCTCATCCCACTGTCTTTACAACAAAACAAGGTATAATTTCTTCAAACTACAGTTTTGGGAACCAAAGAATTTATTGGGCTTCCATACAGATCAATGGGTGAGGGGTTACTTACAGAAGTGTGGGCACGGCTGGACTTCCCTCTACATTGCGACAGGGCCCCGTGACCTTCCAACAGCTGCCCAAGATGGCAAAGGTACCAACTCTCTCGGGCTTCCCTAGTCCCTATTCTTAATCACTCCACCATATAACTAGTTCAAGCCAGCTGGTTGGATGGAAGGCATGACTGACTTTCTCTGCTCCTCCCCTCCTATGGAAAGTTCATTTGTGGTGAATCGCAGCTTGGGAAGAAGGCATCCATCCACTGCTTGCCAGTCTAGTTTTCCAGGTGGAGCACAAGTCCATGCAACGGGGGTAGGGGTGGGGGGGTGGGGGGTGTTGATGTGGATGAGAGTAAAAGACAGAAGCAGCTGATCAAAGGAGGACACCGAAGCAGATGAGTACTGGAAGATGAAGACTACGGAAACACCTCAGAGGACACTTTGCCAGTGTCCTGTATAATAGCTGTCTTTTGTGCAGGACTCTGAGGAGTGTAACAACATGGGCAGGAGTTAAGTTCTACCTTGCTATACTTTCCAAAACTGCAGGCTGGAAGAAAACTGGAGTACATTCTTGAGGTAAGTTCCAGCTACACCCAGGATAGGGAGTCACATGATGGTTAATCCTCTCCTGACATCTACTTCTCCCCCTCAGAGAGTTCCCTCAGTTAAGTAAACACCCCAGAATTTCATGCAACTTTCAGCCACTAATTCTAGCAATGAACATCACTGGTGATTTAGGTCTTTAAGGAAAAACTTTTTTCTTTGTTTATTTTTTTGTTGTTTCTTTGAGATGAGGTCTTGCAATGTAGCCTAGCTTCCCTGGAACTTGTTATATAGCCCAGGATGGCCTCAAACTTACATAAATTTTCTACCTCAGTCTCCCCAATACTAGGATTACAGACATGTGACACCATACCCAGCTAAGGGAAATCTCTTGCAAATTAAATATTCAGGAGCTGGTTTCTGAAAGCAATTTCCTACTGTGCTCAGGTTCGATGAATATTTATTGAATATTTAATATACACTAAGCATTGTGCCAGCATTTAAAATACCTCATCAAATCCTCAAAAAATACCCTATAAAATAAATTAATATCCTCAATTTATAAGCATGAAAAAAAAACCCTAAGACTCAGGAAAGTTAATTTGCACAGTCGTATGGTCAGTAATTAGTTGTAGATCCAGAAATGAAGTAAAGGTCCTCATATTCTAGCCTGCTTTCTATTGCTGATTAGACTAGCATGTCTCCTAGATTTCATCAATCTGTGACTGTGTTCAAAGAAGATGGGAAAATTCTCTAAGACATTCCAGAGGAGATGGTACTCTGAATGAATGCTATGAACATTTGGATTCCTTTGACTCTATGTGTGTGTGTGTGTGTGTGTGTGTGTGTGTGTGTTCCAAAGATTGATTTTTTATATATGTATGTGTTACATCTGCATGTTTTTATGTGTACCACATGCCTGTAGGTGCACCTTGTAGACCAAAAGAAGGCATAGAGACCCCTAGAACTAGAGTTACAGATAGTTGTGGGTGCTGGGAACTGAATCCTGGTCCTCCGCAAGAGCAGTATGTATTCTTAACTGCTGAGTCATCTCTGCAGCTTGTGTGTGTGTGTGTGTGTGTGTGTGTGTGTGTGTGTCTGTCTGTCTGTCTGTCTGTCTGTCTAGTTTTTTGACACAAGGTCTCATGCAGGCCATGAACTCTCATGGCCTCATGTTCTCATGGGCTTGAACTCTCAATCCTCTTGCACCTCCAAGATCCTGAGACTACAGACATGCATTACCACATCTGGCTTCTTTGACAGCTCTCTATTTCCCTCTGCATTAGTATCCTACTTTATTCAGGTCTGGGAAAAGTTGGTTGTCAGTTCCTGCTATGTGCCAGGAACATTCATTCCTTCTGAGCAAACTGACAAAACAGAGTTCCTTAGGAAGCAAAATAGAAGACCATGGCATGCTGGTATGCTTTGTTTTTTATTTTTTTTTGTTTTTATTTGTTTGTTTGTTTGTTTTTGAGAAAGGGTCTGCCTGTAGCCCTAGGTGGCCTGGAACTGGATAGGTAGACCAGGCTGGCCTCAATCTCACAAAGATATGCCTATCTCTGCCTCCTAAGTGCTGGGACTAAAGGTGTGTGCTACCACACCTGGCCCTGATTGTGCTTTATTTTAAGGAGAACATTCCTCTCCAATGTGGCTTCTTTGGTCGGGGAGGGCTTTCAACTCAGTGTCTGACCCATTTAATCTATGATACAAAACTATTTTGTGTTGTAGTGGTCACACGCCACTGAGAGTGTGTGGAATTGAGAGCAAAACTCTCAAGAGCCAGTTCTTTCTGTGTGGACCCCAGGAATCAAATTCAGGTTACTAGGCTTGGTGGCAAGTGCCCTCCACTCACTGAGCCTGTAACTGTATTTTATGTATTTTAGTCACAAAGCTTACAAACATGAATCTCCTAAACCCATGAGCAGTAAATATCACAGATTAGAGGGGTTAATAATTCTAATACTGGATCAAGCTATAAAAAATGGATCTTTCCTCACTGCATCCACTCTCATGCTATAGTCTATTCCATATATCAGTAACTGGGCTGACCTTTTAGAAATAAATCAGACCCAGCAGTGGTGGTGCTCTCTATATTACAGCACTTGGAAAGTGGAGACTGGAGGCTTGAAAGGGTGCTCGGGGCCAGTCTTGGCTACATCTGAGTGCCAGATCAGCCTGAACTACATGAGACCCTGTCTCAAAACACATTTTTAAAAAAGAAGAAAAAGGGGTCTGGAGAGATGGATCAGCAGTTAAGAGCACTGACTGCTCTTGCAGAAGACCCGGGTTTGATTCCCAGCACCCACATGGCGGCTATGAACCATCCTTAACTCCAGCTCCAGGGGAATCCGAAGCTCTCTTCTGACCTCTGCAGCATTGCACGACATGGGTGCACTCACATACATGGAGACAATACACTCATACACATAAAATAAAAATAATAAAAAAAGAAAAGAAAGCAGGACAAAAACATGAGTCTTTTATTGGCCAACGTACTGTACATGAAGATGACAGTGTGGCAGTTTGGGGGGTTGCTATTTCTCTCCAGTGTGCTTGCCCTTTCCTCCAGAAATGGAGAGGCATGTTCTAAAGGGGCTAGTCCCTCTGCCTGGGTTTGGGAATAAGAAGGCACATGGATCAGAGCTCTAAGACCTTTGGTAAAGTGCTTATAAGCATGAAGATCTGAGTTTGA